GACACATAATCAACTGCAAGCAAGATATATTCAAAGCCAAAAGATGAGGGAAATGGACCCATGAAATCAATACCCCACACATCAAACACTTCCACAATCAAATAGATCAGGGGCATCATATCTCGTCTACCAATATTCCCTACTTTTTGACATGAAGTACAAGCACGACAATAAAAGATGCATCACGAAAAAGAGAGGGCCAATAGAAACCACCACTGGAGGACCTTTAAAGCGGTCCTCTTGCCACTATAATGACCACCACAAGCATACGAATGACAAAATGCAAGTACACTACTAAACTCGTGGTCGGGAACATCATCCACCTAATATCTGGTCTGCACACACCCTGAAAAGGTCCGGGTCTTCCCAAAAATAATGCTTGATGGTTGCAAAGAAATGATCTTTCTGAGTTTTGGTCCACCCTAATGGTAATTGTCCTACGGCCAAGTAATTGACTATATGGGCATACCAAGGTGCTTTGGATTGGGATATCGCAAACAATTGCTCATCCGGGAAAGATTCATTCAAACATTGGCTAGGGACAAACCTGTAAAGAGTCTAGACAAGTGGTCGGCGACCACATTATCACTACTTTATCTTTGATTTCTAGATCAAACTCTTGCAACAACAAAATCCACGAATTAGTCTAGGCTTAGTGTCTTTCTTGGTAACAAACCTGACTGCAACGTGGTCTGTAAAGAAAACTATCCTAGACCCAAGAAGATAAGACCGGAATTATCAAGGGAAAACACTACCGCAAGCAACTCTTCTCCGTGGTGGTGTAATTACATTGAGCATCGGAGAGGGTCTTGCTTGCATAGTAGATCACAACGGGCTTTTTATCCCCCGTTGGCCAAGGACTGCACCAATGGCATAGTCCGATGGTCACACATCACTTCAAAAGGTAGGTTCCAATCAGGAGGTTGCATAATGGGTGCTGTGGTCAACGCTTCCTTCAAAATGGTAAAGGCAATCATACAAGAGTCATCAAAAACAAATGGCACATCTTTAGCAAGCAAATCACACAAAGGCTTGGGATCTTGCTAAAATTCTGGATGAAACGCCTATAAAATCCTGCATGGCCTAGGAAAGATCTAATTTGTTTGACCGATGAAGGCGGGGGTAGTTGAGAAATAACTCTACCTTTGCCTATCCAGATATCCCTCCTTGGAAACTACATGACCTAAGACAATTCCCTCTTGAACCATGAAATGGCTCTTTTCCCAACTAAGAACAAGATTTGTCTCTTTGCAAGTTTTAACACCAACTCAAGTTTTTCGAGACAATCATCAAAAGATGTACCAAACACAGAAAAAACATCCATGAAGACTTCAAGGAATTGACCACCATGTCAGAAAATATCGATAACATGCACCTTTGAAACGTGCTGGTGCATTGCACACCCGAAGGGCATGCGACGAAAGGCAAACGTGCCAAAAGGACATGTAAACGTGGCTTTTCCTGGTCTGGGGGCAAACTGGTACTTGGTATATCCGGATAGCAAGCACAAAACAATAGAAAGCTTGCCTGCGAGTTTTTCTAGGATTTGGTCAATAAATGGAGCGGGAAATGATCTTTCCTAGTGGCTAGGTTGAGCTTCCTATAGTCAATGCAAATTCCATCTGTGGGAGTACGGGTAGGAATCGCTCACCTTTTTCATTTCAACAACAGTGAGGCCACTCTTCTTAGGTACAACATGGGTTGGACTCACCCATTGGTGTCAGATATAGGGTAAATGATACCCGCATCAAGCCATTTGATCACCTCTTCTTCATACTCCTTCATGTTCGGGTTTAACCTTCTTTGAGCTTCATGCACCGGTTTGTAGACCGATCGTCACAGTCTAAAAATTAAACCTAAACAGTAGTTAGCGGTAAGCAGGATCGAATCCACAGGGAGCAAGACTAACAACCTAATGTATTTTAAGTAGCGAAAATGAAATTGGCAATGGATAATCAAACTAAATAGACTAATGCAAATAATGAAATAGTGCAATTAAAACTAATGAAAACTTTATAATAAAAATGTTGCCGTTACGGTTTTGGTCCGACACGAGACCGACTCACACAATTCTTCTCACCCTCTACGATCCCCTAAACCTACAAGGCAAGGTAAATCAATGAAATGGTTTCCCGACACTCTAGGTATAATCTATCCTGTTCACCCGATCACTCAAGTTGATTGGTTAAAGACTATCATTGAAGTCGATAAAACATACAAGGCATACCACTAGTGGTACGCGATTAACAAATACAATCTGTCAACACACGTAATATCAACAAACCCACTTCACAATAAACGCACAATAGTAGAAAATAAATTAAATCCAAACACAAACTTACAATCGATGCGAAGTAATGTAAGCAATATTCATCATTTAATTATTCCAAACCAAGGTTTATCATTCAGCAAGTTCTATGAAAATATTAAATCACAATGGACAAAAATATTCGTCACAAATTATGCCCAAATCATATTAAAGTATCGAAATCAATCATGAAACGAAACAAATATAATCCGAAACACAATACTACCAAATGTCCTATATCGGGCTCATCCAATCGTCGAGAGCGATGAGGAGAGTCGGAGTCAATCCCGATCTCGCCTATGCCGTACAGACAACCGGGAGCTTAGCCGCTCATGGTGGTGATGACGGAGGCCGAAACGGGTGGAAACGGAGCTGACCATGGCGAAGAGGAGGTAACCGACAGCGATATGATGCGAAGAAGGGCCAAAAAAAGACCAACGGACAGCCCGGAATACGAACAGCCGCGGTCGCCGGAAAACGTTAATTTCGGCGGGTTCCGGAAAACGGTGACGGAAATGGATCCGAAGGTACCAATGGAAAGCTCTGGTGATGGGGAGTTCAGATCAGGTCCTGGAGGTGAGAAGTCGCGGAAATGAGCAAGATCTGGCCTGGAAGATGAAGAGGCGCGACGCAAAAACGCGGATTCCGACGGTTTTCGCCGGCGGTGAAGCTAGGGAAGTGTAGATCCGGCTGTGGGGAAGTGAGATCTACCCTTGGGGAGCTGAAACGTCACCGGAAAATGGCCAAAACTGGCCGGGAAGACGAAGAGTCGCGGTGGAAGACGAAGCGTCGCGGCGTGGTGGTTCTCGGTGGTGGTTTGCCGTGGTGGTTTGCCGTGGCTTTGACGGGATGATGACTGGGGTCGAGGAAGATGAAGCGTCGCGGAGGTCGCCGGAAATGGAAGATGAGGGTCGCCGGAAAATGGAAGATGAACAGTCCCCCCCGCTGGTCGCGATTGCATTTTTTTTTATAGCACATATTGCAAAATTTCAGTTTAGTCCCTGCACAATTAAAAAGTGACCAAATCAGCCCTTTAAAACATGACATTTTACCCCTAAACAGATAAATGAGACAAAATCACCCTTAATCCATAAACCACAACCTAATATCAACTCATATACTTTCCTAAATTCCAAACATGTTAAATTCATAAGAAAAATATTAGGAAGTGATTTTCATGAATAAATTATAAATTCTTAATTGTCTCAATATACCTCAATTAATCACCAATGGGGTATTTTATCACCAAATAGAGTCACTTTCATGACTCTAACAGTCTTTACCTCAAGGATTTGGCACTCAGGGGGAGAACACAGTCTGCAGACTGCTCAATCCTGTATGGATTGAAGCAAGCAAGTAGACAATGGAATCACAAGCTCACTGAAGCCTTGATCAGAAATGGTTACTTACAAAGTAAATATGATACTCTTATTCACCAAACGAGAAGGACAATATAGTCATCATGCTTGTCTATGTAGATGACATCTTGATAACAGGGAGCCACCAAGATGATAGATAGTTGAAGTTCATATTGCAGGATAATTCAAAATCAAAGACCTTGGTCACCTTAAATTCTCTTGGATTGAAGTTGCTAGGTCCTCTGAAGGAATTGTTTTTAACCAGAGAAAATATGCATGAACTCATCGGAGGCTGGATTGTCTGCTGCAAGACCTGCTGACACTCCTCTTGAACAAAATCTAAAATGCTTCATATGAGTATGATCAAAAGTTCCCACCGGTTGAAAAGGATGAGTTGCTGTCAGACCCTAGTGTATTCAGGAGATGGTGGGAAGGCTTGTTTTCTATTCCATGACCAGGCCAGACATTTCATTCGCTGTCCAGACTTTAAGTCAGCACATGCAGACTCCTAAACAATCACATATGGAAGCAGCATTAAGGGTTATAAGATATGTGAAAAAGGAACCAGCACTTGGGTTGTTCATGTCCGCAAAGAGTACAAAAGAGTTAATTTCCTTTTGTGATTCAGATTGGGCAGCTTGCGCAGTCAGTAGAAAATCAGTATCAGGATACTGCATCAAGATGGGAGATTCTCTTCTGTCCTGGAAATCAAAGAAACAAAATACTGTGGCAAGATCATCTGCAGAAGCAGAATATAGAAGCATGGCTGTAGCTGTTGCAGAGATAGTTTGGTTAACAGGCTTGCTTAAAGAGCTTGATGATGAAGCCAAAATACCGGCATTGCTCTACTGTGATAATAAGTCAGCATTGCAGATTGCGGCAAATCCCATGTATCATAAGAGAACAAAACACATAGAGATAGATTGTCATTTTATAAGAGAGAGAATTCAAGGAGGTTTGATCATTGCAAGATATATACCAACTGGAGAACAAGTGGCAGACGTAATGACAAAAGGGTTGGGAAGGCTTCAACATGAAAAACTTTTGTCTAAGTTATGCTTGAAAAATATACATAAGATGCCAACTTGAGGGGGAGTATTAAAGATCAAGTTGTTATGTATATAGAAGAAAACTTAGTTAGTTAGAGATTAGTTATGCTGAGCTGTAAGTTTGTTAAGATAGTTAGGAGAAATTAGTTAAACGGCTGTGTATTATTTCTTTGTATATAAGCAACATTGTAACAGACTTCTCATTATGATGGAATAAGAGAATTCTTCATTTTCACATTTCTTGCCCCCAAATTAACATGAACCTTCACCTTTTCCTGCCCCGGTAGCTAGAATATTTCCTAGTTCCATAATCTGCTGCCACGTAGTATCTAGTTCTATTAGGTTTCGGGTGAGTTCAAAAGCAAGTTTATGCTTTCTCTTATCCTCCAAGATTCTTCTCGGTATTGGCAAACCTATTCTTCGTTTTGCCTCAATCAGAGGACCTGTGAGTTTTAGAAAACAAAATATACATATATATCATTAGTCAACGAGATAGCCTAGAGTTGGAACTATTGCTCTATTAATCACTCTATAAAAGTTCTGGATAGAAAGCTATTATCTTATTAGCATATTTCTTTATTAACAAATTAAGATGAAAATTATAAAGAGGATATATTAAATTCAAACAGTCACCATATATTTTAGTGTAAATGTGGAAATGGTGCAGTACGTACAAAAGTAGAGGAGTCTTGTCAATATGCTCATTCGGTATCTACTTCTGAAAGCAGAGGGCATAGTAGCCAGCAGTTAAAGATTGGTCATGCCATTTCCGTCCTCTAATGTTGCTAACGAGTCATCCAGTTCCAGTAACAATGAAGCCGTTTCTGTAGCGACATTAGAATAGAAATCAGCACATCAGACACCAGTTGAATACTTCAATTTAAAGCAAAAATAAACTAGGTAGATCGCATGGGGACAGATCAGAGAGAGACCAAAGTGCTCTCCTTGTATGGCAGCATGCAGAATGGAGGCCTCAGGTTCTAGGGCACCAGGTTTTTTTGCTGTGGCGGTGAATATTCGCAATGTCTTTCGGCTTTGTACGACTAGGACATTCTTCAACTAAATATTTGACCACCTCTGTTTGCCCAAATGCAGCAGCTTTAAACAGCGGGGTTTCGCCTTCTTCATCTATATCCTCAAGGAGCTGCTCATCGTATTTCACCAATAGCTTTACGGCCTTAATGTTACCATGGGCGGTAGCCTCATGAAGAGCCGTGTTTCCGTAGATATTCTTATCCCCAGAGCGATCCTTTGCCATATCATGATCTTCAGCAATTTCAAGTGAACCTTTAAGCGGTTCTTCACTTTTGCTGAACACTGCCAAGTGAAATGCAGAGTCCTTGGCGGCTGTTTGAGGAAATGACCAAGCAAAAGCAGGTTGTTGGCCGTAGATATTCTTCAGTTCATGCCACTCCTAGTCCAGGGCTGCCCGATAAGGCGTCACCATTTCTCCAATTCAATAATTTCCCTATGGAGGCAAGAAAATAATTAATGAAGAATTATCCAACAAAAAATTTGCAAGATTTTCTCTTATTAATTTTACATAATCCTTGTATTGATTGTATCTCTTAATGTTTCAGGTGGGGAGTGATCAAACTGGTTATACATATATATAGCGCTATTATTTATCAATAATACTATATTTACAAAAAAATCTTACAAAGATTTCTATACAAAGTGAGGTGACAAAAAATGAATGAAAGAGTGAAACAAAAAATCAAACTTATTAAATTTACTTTTACATTTATTTTTTGCCACATCACTATGTATGAAAATTTTTGTAAAATTTCTTTATAAGTGTAGTATTATTCATTATTTATTGGGTCCACCTACTGAAAGATCAACATAATTTTCTATTTCCATAGTTTATCGTTTAAAATATTATTAATTAAAATTATTTGGTCTTTGATACAATAATACATATAAATATCAAGTAATGGTTGACTTAACAAAAATATATTAGATATATATAAACATTAGAGATGTAAAATAAACCCGACCTACGCTGAGCCCAGGCATGTGTTATACTCGGAAGGGCCGGAACCGGGCCTAGCTTTGATAAGCCCGGCCAAGGCTCAGATCTATTATATAAAGTTTTGAAATGTACTAGTTTTAAGCCTTTAACCCTGTAAAAACTACATAACACCTTTTATAAATTAAAATTTCAAAAAACCATTTTAAACATTTTTAAGTCGATTTTGACTTGAAATCTCTAGTTTCGGAAAAACAAGCAGGTCAATATCCAACCATTTTAAACAAAATCTTGAAAAGTAACGCAATGGGAAACTCTTATAAATTCAAAATTTATATAAACACAGAAAATATTACATATATCATCAAGAATTAGTAATCTTTTAACAATATTTTTAAATACATATATCTGGAAGTGTGAGAGTTTTCCGATCTCACTTGAGTCCAGCTATGGCTGAAGTTCTTCACGCGTTAGAGAGTGAGGAGAGAGGAGATCAAGAGACATACCACAAATAGCTATAGCCTGCTGAGAGATAGATATTTGAGGAAAAAAAAATTCAACTACACAAAGGAAATTATCTTAATGCATTGATTTTGGAGATATTTTTGGCAGTTTGAAACTATTTATATTCAAACCTTGGGTGGGAAATTGTCATTCACTCTACTATTTCTTTATCAATGAATCAAGCAAAGAACATAAACCACTTTAACTTTATGTTTAACTTCTTTATTTCTAATAAATTTTAGAGCACTCTACGTAACCAAGCAGAAATAATTTATATTACCCATGCATGAAATTTATAATCAAGTTAACCAATAATCCACTCAATCTAAATCTCCAATCCTTGAATAGTTATATTGTATAAATTGTATGATAAATAATAAATAAATTCATGTGAATTGAAATGATATGCAATTTTAACTTAACTAGGAAAACCTTTATGTGATTCTAAGTACTATCTCAACGTACTATATGTTAACTAGTTTAAGCAAAGAACATTTATTATTTGGCTTTATATATATATATATAACAGAATCTTTATGTAGTTCCAAAAACTATCTCAAGTTCTGTATGTTAACTAATTAAGTAAAGAACGTTTACTCTTTGGCTTTTTGGACCACCCACCCCGAGATTTGCCCCTTGACTGGGTGAAGGCCCCGGTCGGATTTAAAAACATTGGCTATAACCAATTCATTTTTGTTTGTTGGTTTTCTTTATTCATTTTTTCCTATGTTTTTTAAGATGAATTCAAGAGCGAATTGGCTTAATATAGTAAATAAAATTAAAAAATAAAGCTGCCTCTTTTATTCACCCTAGAAAACAGCTGGGAAGGCCAGCAAAGAATTAATTAAGCAAGATATACACAATTCTAGTTCTTCTAAATAGATCTTAAGTGTCCGTAAGAGAAGTTTGATCGCCACCATTGCTTTACTCATGGGTTTGTGTTCACTGTCCCACAGACACGGAGAACAAATTATAATGCCTTTAATTTCCACAGAAAATGTGACAGTTTAGCTTTATCTTTAATATATTCTTGTCAATGTAAATTAATTACTAATGATCTTTATCTTTATTATACTTTTTATCATAATGAGCTTTATCTTTATTATATTCTCAGTAGCAATGAGCTTTTATCATTTATTCAAGTAAAGTAACGATACTTCTTCATTTACAAGGATAAAACTAGCCCTTATAAAAGTTTATGGAATATCAGATAACACAACAATTGTTATCTTCCTAAATCCGTGGAGTTAAAACAAGCGACATAGAGAGAGACGGGAAATGATTTAGAGATCAAGGGCGATGAAGTAGTTCCCGCTCGGGAATCCATTGCAAGAATGAAACAGCCTTATCAAAGAGCCTCACCGAAGGACTGGGAAGGCTTCAAGGAATTCTACGAAACCAATCTAGACAGCTTGTTCCACAATTATTTATATTACTCACTCATGAAATTTATAATCAAATTAACCAATAATCCACAATTTAAATCTCCAATCCTTGATTAGTTGTATTGTATAAGTTGTATGATAAATAATAAATAAATTCATGAGAATTATCATGATATGCAATTTACACTTAACTAGGAGAACCTTTATGTGATTCCAAATATACTATTTAAACATTCTATATGTTCACTAATTAAGTAACGAACATTTACTAGTTGGCTTTTCTTTGAAATATATATATATATATATATGCAATTTTCACTTACCAATGAGAACTTTTATGTAATTCTAAATACTGTCTTAACGGATTATATGCTAAGTAATTAAGCAAAGAACATTTATGTACTATAAAGTACATTTACATACTATTTGGCTATATATATATATATATATATATGCAATGACTAAAGCTATTTATACAAACTCATGTACAAAAAGAGTTTATACAAACTTACATGGCACGTTACATAGCATGTCACGTGACATTAAAAGCTACCTAATTTAATATCACATCAATATCATTTGAGCCTTCATGTCACGTATCATTACATGATGTGTTACGTCAATTTATACAAACTCTCTTTGTGTAAGAGTTTGTACAAATAGTTTTACCCATATGCAATTTTCACTTAAATATGAGAACCTTTATATGATTCCAAATACTATCTCAACGTACTATATATTAACTAATTAAACAAAGAACATTACTATTTGGCACGTACTATATATTAACTAATTAAGAAAAGAACATTTACTATATTTGGTTACAACAACTGGCGTCATTTCCTTTCTAATGACTATTGGTAATTATTCGTAGCCATCTCTTCAAGTAATCTGTAGGCATCTTCAGGACTTTTTCCCATTAAAGTTCCTCCTTTTGCAGCGTCTATCATTGATCGAATCGTTGGTACCAAATTGTTATGAAACGTTTGCACCACAAGTCCAGGGGTAGGCCATGATGAGGGCACTTTTGTAATAAATCCTTGTACCTCTCCCAAGCTTCGTACAATGATTCTAGCTCCATTTGAATAAAAGTTGCGATGTCATTTTGCATCTTCGTTGTTTTTGCTAAAGGAAAGAACTTGGCCAAAGAAATTTTGGGCTAGATTCTCCCATGTGTTGATTGACCCTACTCCAAGCGAATTCAACCACTCTTTTGCCTTGTCCCTTAATGAGAATGGAACAATTGCAGTCTTATAGCATCGACACTTTATTGTGCTTGAAAGTATCATAAATCTCAAGAAAATTTGCTATATGAGTGTTTGAATCATCGTTGGGCATTCCAACAAACTATCACCAATGTCTCAATAATTTATATGATGACTGGCTTTATTTTAAAGTTGTTTGCCTGAAAATTCGGTCGCCTTACGCTTGGAGTTGTACTGGTCACCAAAGGCAAAGCACAGTCTCTCAAGTCTCAAAGCTCTCTGATCATTTGCCTCCTTAACTTGATTGTCAATGGTTTGTTGTGTGCTTGTAGAGCCCTCTTTTGCTTTTCTCGACAGCCGACAAGTCTATTCAATCTCTGGGTCGAATGATAATAATTCTACGCTTTTCCAACGTCTCATAGACAACAGAGACTTCTGAAAAATGGGAAAACTCAAGTAAATTAAAACTTAACAAAAAGAGAATTAATTTAGAACAAAAATACTGAAAATACAAATTCAAGAACTCAAAACAAGAATAACAGCAGCAAATAAACTTAAACAAAGATTAATTAAATAAAATTCAAATTCAAATTAATGTAGAGTAGTTTTTTTACATTTTTGTTATTCTGAATCTAATAATCCAGTCATACTATATGATAAAGCTGCCTAACTCAAAGCTCTCTTGAATTAAAATAATTTTTGTTATTTTTAATTAATTTTGATGCCTTCAAGTATATACGCAAGTTTTCTCCATATTTTTGGCAAAGGTAACCACTTAGCCAACGCAGATTTTTGATGACTCAGATTTCACATGGAGTCCCTCACATGCAGTTATATATATATACCAATGGTTTAGCAAAATGCTAAGTTCCTCTTGGTTTAATAAATTCTATATTCTCACACTTAAGTAACACTAGTAGTGACGGTTGGATTTTGATACAGATGCAAAGGGTGCTATTATCAAACTATCATCTTATCTACACCCCTTAGGTTTGCTAATTTAGCTAAACACCCTTACAATAAAACATTGAAAATTAACAAAAACACCTCCACCCACCCAATAAATGCCGGCAGTTGGCCACCACTGTCAGAGGGTGGCTGAAATTCGCTATAATGGTGCACAATTGGTTGGATCTGGTCGGTCATAACCTTTTTTGGCCAAATCTAGCCACGTTTGGTCATCAACGATGGCTATATTTTGGTCGTTGTTAACGACCAGCTACAGCCAAAGATCTGGTTGTTTGGCCATGGATCTGGTCGAAAAATGCCAAATCCATGGTGGATATGGTCTAAAAAAGCTAGACCGGCGTACTATCGGCCAGATCCAGCCGGTAGTGCTCCATTACGCTAGATTTTGGCCACCTTCCGACGGTAATGGCTGAAATCTGACAAATGTGGGTGGATGAGGGTGTTTTTGTCAATTTTAAACTTTTTTGGGGGCGTGTTTAATTAAATTAATAAACCTAGGGGATTTAAAATAGTTGAATAAAATAGAATTGGATTTTTAGAATAGGGAAACAAGTATGTATTTTGGGTAAGATTTCAAAAATCCTACCCAAAATAACAAAACAAACATTAATTTCTCCCAATAAGGTGTTATTTTGATTCTTGTGTTGAAAAGAATTCTCCTCCTACTGTCATTCTGTTAGAGATTAATAAAAGGAAAATTCAATATTGCATATTTGCCTATAATCATTTCATTGCAGGCCAGAAGGTAAACCTTCTAACATCATTCAAATTAATCTATTATATAACTATTAATTTCGAGTTCTGAAAATTTTCACTTTATTTTTATTTCTTTTTTCTTTTCCTTTAAAGTAAGAAACTATACTGAAAAGTGTACAAGTTACAACATTACACTATCAATTCAAGAGTCCACGTGAGTCAAGATTTAATCCCTAAACAAATAGAGAGATACGAAAACCAAGATAATAGTAAAAACATAAATCACAAACAGTAAAAAGAAAGAAGAAATACGTGCAATTTTACCCTGGTTTATCCAAGTAACATGTTGCATCCAACTGAGTCAATAATATTGTAATACTGACTCACCTCTCTCGTTTACAATGAATGCAACTGGTCATATTGTTTTTCATCACTCATTACCAAAAAAAAAAAAAAAATATGCTTATATAATAGGTTCAAAAAACTAAAATCTACTACTATAAGGATTTTTGTCCTAAGTCCAAATTTAATAATGAATTAATAATTTAAAAAAATCATTCAACTGCTCTTCATGAAAAAGGACTAAATCGCCTACAGGCTGGGGCCATTATCCCCTGCACCTCCGCTCACTCACTGGGGAGCGGGATCCCCACCCACTGATCGAGCAATGGGACCCCCCGAATGTGTCTATGTGGCCCCTTATTATTGAAGTGGTCGACAATCCCAACAATCCCAAGAGAAAGCAAACACATTTGTTAGAGGTTAATTATATTAATTACAGAAATTAATTTACGATGATTAACCTCACTCCTCCTTTGTAATTGTTTAATCTATATTCCTCTAATTTATGCTTATGACTGAGAGAGTGTTCATAACTATTATTGTTATATTACTGAAATGGATAAACAAAACATAATTAATTAAGAAATAGTTAATTACTATATTAATTGTTTCGAGTATTAAAAGTTAATTAATTTAACATACTTTTTAAATTCAAGAAACATATATATACATAAATTGATCTATGAATATTAATAAATCAATAAAATTAAGTAATGTACGATCATTTTAAACCGTATAATATCATTCTTGAGAAGCATGCTCATTGAATAATAAGGCTATAGTTTCTAAATTAATTTCAAAAAAATTCATATCAATGGCATTTACAACATGAAAACAAACTAGAACAAACCTCGTAAAAGACCTCAAGTATGATCACATGATACTCCTTGGAGTTCATAGACATATAATAATTCAAAAGGCTTCGAAGATCTTTTGTTTCTTCAATCCGGTTTGCCAAAATCATCTCAACCATGGAAGCTCTAAAGTCTTCTCTCGGATCATTAGAGGATTTTTCCATGGCTACCATGACAATAAATTTAGTCCCTTCACTATCTCTTTGCTTTCTTCTCTCTTTATGTCTTGCCTCTTGCCTTTCTCGAATCATTTGATCGAGTCTCTCTTGAACCATCGCGTGCGCGAGGCTTGAAACCGACGGGAACTGATCGGAACTTGAGCTCTCGGCTTCCTCCGAGGAAGAAACACTAAACCTGCAGCTGCAACACAAGGCCTTGCATCCTCTCTGTTGAACCTTCTGCTTCTTGTAATATTCTCTGGAGGGTTTCATTTCTCAGGCATGAACCTGGAGCTTTGAAGGAGAATCTGTGGCAAAATAATCAAGTTATGTAAAACTGGCAAGTGGGTCAGTATAAACATGATTATGTCTTGAGTTTAAAAGAACAAGTACACAACTTTAAGAGATTAGGTAAGGTTGGAGGATGAAGAATGGAACCCAACTGGGGAACATTAGTATTGTTAATTGAGCTATAGTTATTATGATGTGAAGTTAAAGAGCTTTAACAATTAATTCCCTTTATAGGGTTATTAGGTGGCATTCATTTCAAAGAGTGGTTAATATGGAAAGTAAACATGGAGTCCATGAAGCCTTTAATTAAAAATTCAAGACTAAGGAGTGACAAAATTAGAAAATTTTGGTTGGCTTCACATGCATGCCTTGTGGGGGATACAGTTCTATTCTACTTGCTTCAGTTGAAGTAGTTGATGCTAAAGTAAACTCATTTAACAGAAGGGCGAAATTATTTCAAAATGTTGCCATTTTTTAAACCAGTCAACCAGGACATCCTTTAGCACTACTTCAGGAAAAATGTGTTTTTCTGATCAGCTTTCTGTCAATGTAAACATCAGGCGTCGAAATAAAACACTTTTTCTGTTGCAATGCAACATGGGAATATTAACAATAAAGATGGACCGACAAACTCTTCTTACAAATGCGAAGTGTCAGTTAGCATTCAATCAGACAGAACTCATTGTTGAGCAGGCAAGACCTGTTGCGAACTAATGCAAAGTAACACTATGATAGAAGGTTAATAAGAAGAATTTGTAGTTAAATGAAAACTAAGCTAGCGTTTCTCCACTTTCTTGTATACTTAAACGCAGAAAAGTGTAAAACATGATACAAGCAGCATAATTTCTACTAACTGATAATGCAAGTTATTATATTATCTTCTATCTATAGAAGGAAGAATCTGTCTGATATTTACAGGTGAAAACTGAGCTAGCATTTCTTCCCTTTCTAGCGCTTGATCACTAATCATCAATTGTTGTCAGAGGCATTCTGCCTATTCAGAAACCATTCTTCCCCATCATTCTTTGCTATTTAATTAGTATATATGACAAACTTGCCTATGAGGCGGCAATTGATGAAGATGAAACAAGACAGTTAGTGGAAACATTAATCACAATTAACAGTGATCTCTAGATCTTGTACTGCTTAAAGACTACGCATGTACTAAAATGAAACTGTATAATGATGATCCTTGCAGCAGAAAGTTTCAAAAAGAGCTGCTGTGATGAGGTAAAGCTAATAAACACTTCAAGTAAAATTTAGACAAGGTCCAAATATATAATAACATAATAATTAATACGGTAAGTTTTATAGACAGTGCATATGTTTTATGTATGGTTTCAGATGATTAGATGCACTGAATGGAGTAAAATTATAATTTCTCTTTCATTGATTTGGAGCCAAATGCAAGCACTTGTGGCATCCAATTATGGAGAAAATCCAAAAGAAGATTTACATAGCTGGATAGAGTCTTTTTTATGCATACCCCTCCATGTATTTTGAGAACACAAGATCAGTTAACAAGAAAAAGAAAATATTCAGATTACAAAACGGTAGGTGTTTAGGATGTGATAATCATTTGTGTGTCTCATGAATTTCAACTATCTTATTAGAATTGGAAGTGAGAAAAAACATGTGGGTTTCTTTCTTTTGATTAATAAAATTAGTACAATGCACTACTAGCAAGTACAAAGTTGTTGAGCAAACACAATGGCACATGCTGGTATGATGATTTTGTTGTAAAAGTAGAGCCAAACTACTTTGGATAATAAGGTCTACATGATAAATTAGAAGACAGAGTGTAGCTCAACTACTCTTGTTTCTAGAAAAAAAATGGAGCTGGTAAAGGGGTCAGTGATGGATGATGGCCTTTTCATCGAATAAAGAAGCGTGGTGTGCGTTTGGTTGCAAGAGAAAGTGCAGCAGCAGGGCAATTTTGAAGTCAAAAGTGTATGATGAAAAGCACATTGTTTAGTGTAATATTTTGATCAAGTTCTGAAAAGACTATGAGTAGAATGTATTTGATGAAGCTTTACTTTATTGATCATGATGGAATTCATGAGGCCCAGATAAAATGAAAAAGAAAATACAAAGATAAATGAGTTCCTCTAAATGAAGAGACACTATCTTCCACTCGGAAAAGTAATGCCTTAATAAATTTAGGTGATAGATTGTAAGAATGATTTGCTATTAAACAAGCTTGGGTAGAACGCAGGAGCATTTCAAACACAACTTCTAACACGTTCAGTGAGTATGATCAGGGTCTAAACCTATTACAAACACAACTTCTAACAATCTTGGCAACTATACTCCAAATACAACTTGTAACATGCTCAAAGAGTATGGTCAGAGTCCAAACCCACTACAAATACAACTTTTAACAGGCTCGGCGTTGCACGGTCGGGGTCCAAACCCGCTACAAATACAACTTCTAACATGCTAGGCAACCGTGCTCTAAACCCACTACGAAGCACTACAAATACAATTTCTAACATGCTTGACGAGCACGGTTAAGGTCCAATCCTATTATTAGTGTTAAACGGGCTTGGATATAACTCATCCCTAAAAGAGAGCTTAATAAGAAGAAAATTCAACCACATATATACATTATAACAGCCTACTAAATTGGCGATATAAGATAAATACAACTTCTAACACTTGTTACACATATATGCATACAACTTTTTTCAAGCCATGGCTAATATAATTTGTTAGCCCTTAGTTGGCGAGAATATACGAAGAAAGAATGCTGAGAATGGACGAAGATTAATGTAGTAGCCAGCTGAAGTAGATTTCACAATTTGAGCCCAGAAATTGCATAAAAATTGGCCCATTCACGAGGAAATCCAATGAAATGATCAAATTTCTAGCAGCCTGTTGCTGCTTCTCCTATTCTTTACATGTGTACTTCAAACAAACAAAAGGTATCATAATTTAGATAAAGTTGTTCTAATTTATCTGATCAATAACGAAAAATCTACCTTACCTAACTCCAAAGTCCAATGCAAGTGAAGATGAAGAGAATAAAACTGGAATATTCTTTGGCGTTTAACCTTACACGCGCCCAACAATAACCAGAGGCAGTTAGGTAAGGACAAATGCACGATCCGGTGTCATCAAGTCCATCTTCACCAATCCAACTCACCCAATCATCACCTAAATATCACAGATTCACATCCGATTTTCTAATATTAACTTCACTGATCAAATACTGACAATAACGTGTACTTATTTTTGCCGGTTAATTTCCGACTTCCCCCTGAAGTTTGTTCTAATTAAATATTCATTATAATTTGCTTAATTATGGTGGACCTGTAAGATTTTGCTTGATTGTGTGACTTGTCTCCTCTAAAATATTACTCATAAGAGGTCACCGTTAAAGTAGGAGTATATACGATTTGGTCTGAATTTTTTTTTTTTTTGGTAATCAAGGTATCCAGATAGCTTACGCATACCTCAACTAATCCCCAAAATCTATTGAATACTCTACAAGCCTAAAGGACTAGGTAAACCACGAGTCCATTTGTTTAATTATTTTTTCCGATCCTATTAATATTATTTTCAAAATACACGTTTGTTTCCCTATTCTGAAAATACTATTATATTTTATTCAACTATTTTAAATCCCTTAAATTTATTAATTTAACTAACACCCCCCAAAAAAAGTTTAGAGATTGACAAAAACACACCACCGCTGGAAGGTGATCTGAATATGGTATAATAGTGCACTACTAGCCAGATCTATCATTTACCGGTCAGATCCACCATGGATCTGGCCGAAAAAGGCCATCTTGGTGCACAACCGGCCAAATCTAGCCGGTCATGCACTATAACGCCAGATTCCGGCCAGATTCCAGCGGTGGTGGCTGGAATTTGGCAAATGTGTGTGATGGGGGTGTTTTTGTCATTTTACAAAAAATTTATATATTGGAGTGTTAAGTTAAATTAGCAAACCTAGGGGTTTTTTTGTTAATTTTTAAATTCTACCTCGTAATAATCACCCAACTCTACCTACCAATAATATTTCAAAAATACTACTCAAAATAATAAAGGCTCCATTTGGTTCACTTTTTTACACTTTTTAGAAAAAAAATTTGAAAAAAGTTAAAAAAAGTTGAATTGGGCAAGTATTACGATGTAGGATTTGGAAATTCATAAAAATACCCCCTATGTTTGTTTATTTACAAAACAGCCTATAATAAAACATTAAAAGTTAACAAAAACACCCCCAACCCACCCATCAAATATGGACAGCCGGCCTTGTTTTTGTAGCAAACAGAATCCAACAGATATGATGAAAAATATCTGTTGTACGATAAATGTTGGATAGGTGTAGTTGTTCGGCCTAATCTATTTTATAAAAGATTCTAAAATATGCTTTCGTACTTTTAGGATTAAAAACTGTTTTGGAAAGTCAATTACAAAAATTGCCCTTCACTATACAATATATTTAAAGAAAAACTTGATTCATTAATAAGTAATTATAATTTATTTATAAATTTAAAATATTAAAATGGTAGGAAGTTGCATCAACGCTTTGAATTTGATCAACAAAAATAAAGTTTACAAAAACCATTTTATAATAAATTTAATAATTATTTAGTCTTTTGACATGTGTTATATATCCTCACTAAAAGTAATCACTGACAATCCCAATTAGACTAGCATGGCGGCTTAGAAGCTTCAGTGAACTGAAGATTCAACAATCACTAGCAGTTGCAGCTGCTGCCTGTCAAATGCAACTTAATTAAGAGTAGACTAAAAAGTAAGTTGAATTGGCAAACTACCTTGAAATGAAAACACACATTATTCTCTCAAGTTACTTGGCAACGTCAAGCATGCTACCACGCTTTAGAATCAACAAGACCACACACCATTAATAAATATTCAATCGAAAATTAATAAATATACAAACCTTTTATTAAATTCTAATACAACTCTCTTGCCTGGTGACATATCAGCCCTTTTTACCATTTCGAGCAACGTATATAATCCCTCATACTGGGATCCGGCACACTCATCATCCTTCTTGGAGACCTCTTCTTCTTCGAACCTTTTTCTTAAGAAGCTCTTACCGTTTACGAAAATGAGCCTTATTAACCCACTTGTGAACCTTCTTATCCGCCTGAAAAACTCGAGGAAAGCTACCTTAAATCAACATGCATAGGGAACTGTGTGAGTGCAAATATGCTACCGAAAAAATGCAGCAGTGTAAATGAGAGTGGTGGTCCATGTGGTTTTTGATAACGAACATGAGCAATAATGTTGCCGCGAAGCAACATGTTGTAGTCAACGCAACGAAGAGTAAGGAGAAACCTATTGTCAGTTTTCGAGGGAGTCTGTGATGGAATTCTTCATACTAAAAGGTGAAGTGAGGACGGATAAGAACATTACCACCGAGGTCAAGGAGCAGGCTAAAGCAACAACGTCCATGACTGTGAAAACCAAGAAGAATTTTGTTAAGGAAAACTGATAACCCTTCTCATTGGAACCTCCAGGTACAGTGTAGGCAGCTGCGAATACCACAGTGGCGACGAGAACACCACCGCAGAGCAAGACTAAGAGTCTCTTTACCCATTGCTGTGCTTCTTTGAGTAGGTTATCATGCTTCAGCTTGAACAGCTCTTTGCAATTGTACTCCTTTTCTTCAGTGCTATCTTTTGCAATTACACGAAACATGGCAAAATGGTGGCGCTAACTTCTCCACACGCTGCATAGATGCACAAATATAAGATAAGATAGAGTACATTCCATGGAAGACTTATTAATAACTCATCATTAAATTTTTATGTATAAAAGACTACCAATCCTTGTGTTGGTCTCCTACACATCCAATAGTTTTTCATCTTCATTGTCTCTGATTTTTGCAACACATGCACTTTATCTCTAGTTTTACTTTATTTATTTATGTTTAAATAGTTATTTTTGTCCTTAAGATACTCTAAAAGAGACCGGAAAATACGATTCAATAAAAAGAAGGTATCATTTTCTATATTTTTCTAGATATAAACCTAAAAAATGGCTAGACAAAGGGATACTTGAAGAGGTAATATTTTGTGATACCAATGCACTTATTTAATACAAATGAATAATAAATAAATAAGCCTTTTCATGCCTTAAATAATCAATTTTTATCTTTTTCTAGTTATCATATGCTCTTAAAACAAATTAACATTTCCTATGAAAAAATTTAAAGATTATGTAATAGATTATGTTAGAATCAAAGACTCTAATATAAACAAGGTTCTTTTTTTTTTTTTTTTTTTTAATAATCTTGATGTCTAATCAATACAAATGTTCCCCTAAGATTTTAGAATAATAGAAATTTTCATGCCGTTAAAAGAACTTTTAGAGTATTGTTAGATTTTTTAACATGAAGATTAATAATAGTTACAAAATTATTCTTCTATCGTTTAGTTTTTACCATCCTAAACGGTAGGAAATTTTGTTATTACTACAACGACAAGAGAATTTAGTTATTTGGTTATATCTGAGGGGATTTTTGTTATAAACCCTATAAACAATCACATTATTCAATAAAAAATGAGTAGTACTGAACGTATAAAGATTATATACAAAATAATGTGATAAAAAAGTAATATATGAGTTTAATTTTTTGTATTACTCTTCCATTCATTTCTATCACATTACTTTATATAAAAAATTTGTAAGATTTCTTTACCGATGCAGTATTATTAAAAAAAACAGTAGTAAGATTTGTGGAACGCTTACTTTGTACCACTTTAACTCTTCTTGTAATGGTATGCAGGACCACGTGAATATCTGCATTATATATTGATCTTGCTGCAGCATGGTGTAAATGGTATAGCCATATTCGTCGATCCCTCGGACTAACCTTTTCATTGGTATATTCATCTCTTTCATAATATCGAAGATTTCCTTTTGACGGTGCATGATACGATATGTAACTATTCTGATCTTATCATCGATATACTCAGCCAATTGGGCGTTTGTTGAAATATCTCTTGACAATCTCTTTTTATTCCTCTTTCAGTAGCCAAAATAATGCGATTGATTTTGAAGTTGGTTTTGAACCTTACCGACGCTTGCCAGGGGACCTTGAATATCTCCTAGTCCTTCAAAACATCCAATCTGCCGCCACAAGGTATCTTGTTCATTAGGAGTTTGGTGAGTTCAAACAAGTTTATGCTTTTCCTTATCGTTCAAATTCTTCCCAGTATTGGAAACCCTATTCTTCGTTTTGCATCAATCAGAGGACCTGTGAATTTTAGAAAATAAAGTATACATATCATTAGTCAACGGATACCCTAGAGTGGAACACTATTGCTCTATTAATCATATCTATAAAGTTCTGGATGAAATGTATCATTTCATTCGCATATTTCTTTATTAACAAATTAGGATGAAAAAATAAAGGGATATATTAAATTGAAACAGTTACTATATATCTTAGTGTAAACGCGGAAATCGCAAGTACGTACAAAGGTAGAGGATACTTCCCCTATGCTCATTCGGTAGCCCTTCTGAAAGCAAGGGCATAGTAGCGAGCAGTTCAAGACTGGTCATGCCTTTCCGTCCACATTGTTGCTAACGACCCATCCACTTCCTTCAGTAAAAATAAAGCCGTTTCTGTAGCGAAATTAGAATAGAAATTAGCACATCAGCCACCAGTTGAATCCTTCAATAAAGCAAAATAAACTAGCTAATGGCATTGGAGAGATCAGAGAGAAGCCAAAGTTCTCTCCTTGGATGGCAGCATGCAGAATGGAGGTCTCTGGTTTTTTTTTCATGCAGTGAATTTTTTTCAGCTGTCCATTTGTACGGCTTTCTTCAGCTAATACTGACCCATCTGTTCGCCCATATGCAGCAGCTTTGAACAGCGGGGTTTCGCCTTCGTTATTTATAACCTCAAGGAGCGGCTGTTTCGCCTTCTCTATTTCCAGAGTCAGTGAGTTGCGGGATTTCGCCTCTCTATTCTATCCTCACGGATGTCCTTATCGTGTTTCACCAAGATCGGTACCGCCTCAATGTTACCATTGGCGGCAGCCTCATGAAGAGCCGTGTTTCCGTAGATATTTTTTGCCAAATTTAGGCTTTGCCATGGGATCCGCTTTAGCTCTGTTAAGAAACTTTGAAGCGGTTCTTTCTTTTGGCTGAACACTGCCAAGTGAAATGGAGTGTCCTTGGCGGCTGTTTGAGGAATATGATGCAAAAGCCCTTGTTCGTTGCACAAATCCTTCTTTTACCACTCCTCGTCCAGGGCTGCCCTATAAGGCGTCGCCATTTCTCCAATTCAATAATTTCCCTATGGAGGCAAGAAAAGAATTAATGAAGAATCTCAACAAAAAATTTGCAAAATTTTTCTCTTATTAATTTTACATAATCATTGTACTGATTGTATCTCTTAATGTTTGAGGCGGGGAGTGATCCAGCTGGTTATACATAGAGAGGGTGCTATTATTTATTGGGTCCACCTACTGGAAGATCAATATATTTGTTATTTTCATAGTTTATCGTTCAAAATATATTAATTAAAATTATTTTTTCTTTGATACAATAATTCATATAAATATCAAGTAATGGTTGACTTTACAAAAAAATATTTGATAATAAAAAAATTAACATTGAGATGTAAAATAAACCCGTCCTAAGCTAGCCCAGGCATATGTTCTACCCGGAAGGGCCGAACCGGCCTAGGTTTGATAACCCGGCCCAGGCTTAGATCTATTATATAAAGTTTTGAAATTTACTAGTTTTAAGCCTTTAACCCACTAAAAACTACATAACACCTTTTGTAAATTAAATTTCAAAAAACCATTTTAAACATTTTTAATTCGATTTGTGACTTGAAATTTCTAGTTTCGGAAAACAAGCATGTCAATATCCAACCATTTTAACAAAACTTGAAAAGTAACGCAATGGGAAACTCTTATAATTCAAAATTTATATAAACACAAGAAATATTACATATATCATCAAGAATTAGTAACTTTTAACAATATTTTTAAATACTATATCTGGAAGTGTGAGAGTTTTCCGATCTCACTTGAGTCCAGCTATGGCTGAAGTTTTCACGCGTTAGAGAGTGAGAGAGGGAGATCAAGAGACATACCACAATAGCTATAGCCTGCTGAGAGATAGATATTTGAGGAAAAAAAAATTCAACTACACAAAGGAAATTATCTTAATGCATTGATTTTGGAGATATTTTGGCAGTTTGAAACTATTTAATTCAAACCTTGGGTGGGAAATTGTCATTCCACTCTACTATTTCTTTATCAATGAATCAAGCAAAGAACATAAACCACTTTAACTTTATGTTTAACTTCTTTATTTTAATAAATTTTAGAGCACTCTACGTACCAGCGAAATAATTTATATTACCCATGCTGAAATTTATAATCAGTTAACCAATAATCCACTCAATCTAAATCTCCAATCCTTGAATAGTTATATTGATAAATTGTATGATAAATAATAAATAAATTCATGTGAATTGAATGATATGCAATTTTAACTTAACTAGGAAACCTTTGTGATTCTAAGTACTATCCAACGTACTATATGTACCTAGTTTAAGCAAGAACATTTATTATTTGGCTTATATATATATATATAACAGAATCTTTATGTAGTTCCAAAACTATCTCAAGTTCTTATTTAACTAATTAAGTAAAGAACGTTTACTCTTTGGCTTTTTGGACCACCACCCCGAGAGTTGCCCCTTGACTGGTGAAGGCCCCGGTCGGATTTAAAAACATTGGCTATAACCAATTCATTTTTGTTTGTTGGTTTTCTTTATCATTTTTTCCTATGTTTTTTAAGATGAATTCAAGAGCGAATTGGCTTAATATAGTAATAAAATTAAAAATAAAGCTGCCTCTTTTATTCACCCTAGAAACACTGGGAAGCCAGCAAAATAATTAAGCAAGATATACACAATTCTAGTTCTTCTAAATAGTTCTTAATGTTCCGTAGAGAAGTGATCGCCACCATGCTTTACTCATGGTTTTGTGTTCACTGTCCCACAGACACGGAGAACAAATTATAAGCCTTTAATTTCCACAGAAATGTGACAGTTTAGCTTTATCTTTAATATATCTTGTCAATGTAAATTAATTACTAATGATCTTATCTTTATTATACTTTTTATCATAATGGACGCTTTATCTTTATTATATTCTCAGTAGCAATGAGCTTTTCATTTATTCAAGTAAAGTAACGATACTTCTTCATTTACAAGGATAAAACTAGCCCTTAAAAGTTTATGGAATATCAGATCACACAACTTGTTATCTTCCTAAATCCGTGGAGTTAAAACAAGCGACATAGAGAAGACGGGAAATGATTTAGAGATCAAGGGCGATGAAGTATTCCCTCCGGGAATCCTTGCAAGAATGAAACAGCCTTATCAAAGAGCCTCACCGAAGGACTGGGAAGGCTTCAAGGAATTCTACGAACCAATCTAGACATTGTTCCACAATTATTTTATTACTCACTCATGAAATTTATAATCAAATTAACCAATAATCCACAATTTAAATCTCCAATCCTTGATTAGTTGTATTGTATAAGTTGTATGATAAATAATAAAAATTCATGAGAATTATCATGATATGCAATTTACACTTAACTAGAGAACCTTTATGTGATTCCAAATATACTATTAAACATTATATGTTCACTAATTAAGTAACGAACATTTACAGTTTGCTTTTCTTTGAAATATATATATATATATATCAATTTTCACTTACCTGAGAACTTTATGTAATTCTAAATACTGTCTTAACGGATTATATGCTAAGTAATTAAGCAAAGACATTTATGTACTATAAAGTACATTTACATACTATTTGGCTATATATATATATATATATATGCAATGACTAAAGCTATTTATACAAACTCATGTACAAAAAGTGTTTATACAAACTTACATGGCACGTTACATAGCATGTCACGTGACATTAAAAGCTACCTAATTTATATCACATCAATATCATTGAGCCTTCATGCACGTATCATTACATATGTGTTACGTCAATTTATACAAACTCTCTTTGTGTAAGAGTTTGTACAAATATTTTACCCATATGCAATTTTCACTAAATATGAGAACCTTTTATGATTCCAAATACTACTCAACGTACTATATATTAACTAATTAAACAAAGACATTACTATTTGGCACGTACATAATATAATTAAGAAAAGAACATTTACTATATTTGGTTACAACAACTGGCTGTCATTTCCTTTCTAATGACTATTGTGTAATTATTCGTAGCCATCTCTTCAAGTAATCGTAGGCATCTTCAGGACTTTTTCCCATTAAAGTTCCTCCTTTTGCGCGTCTATCATTGATCGAATCGTTGGTACCAATTGTTAGAAACGTTTGCACCACAGTCCAGGGTGCCATGATGAGGGCACTTTTGTAATAAATCCTTGTACCTCTCCCAAGCTTCGTACAATGATTCTAGCTCCATTTGAATAAAAGTTGCGATGTCATTTGCATCTTCGTTGTTTTGCTAAAGGAAGAACTTGGCCAAAGAAATTTTGGGCTAGATTCTCCCATGTGTTGATTGACCCTACTCCAAGCGAATTCAACCACTCTTTTGCCTTGTCCCTTATGAGAATGGAACAATTGCAGTCTTATGGCATCACCTGACACTCTATTGTGCCTGAAGATATCATAAATCTCAAGAAAATTTGCTATATGAGTGTTTGAATCATCGTTGAGCCTTCCAACAAACTATCACCGATGTCTAAATCTTTGTATGAGACTGGCTTTATTTTAAAGTTGTTTGCCTGAAATTCGGTCGCCTTACGCTTGGAGTTGTACTGGTCACCAAAGGCAAAGCACAGTCTCTCAAGTCTCAAAGCTCTCTGATCATTTGCCTCCTTAACTTGATTGTCAATGGTTGTTGTGTGCTTGTAGAGCCCTCTTTTGCTTTTCTCGACAGCCGACAATCTTTCAATCTCTGGGTCGAATGATATAATTCTAATCTACGCTTTCCAACGTCTCATAGACAACAGAGACTTCTGAAAAATGGGAAAACTCAAGTAAATTAAAACTTAACAAAAAGAGATTATTTTAGAACAAAAATACTGAAAAACAAATTCAAGAACTCAAAACAAGAATAACAGCAGCAAATAAACTTAAACAAAGATTAATTAATAAATTCAATTCAATTATGTGAGTAGTTTTTTTACATTTTGTTATTCTGAATCTAATAATCCAGTCATACATATGAT